GCGCATGGTGAAAATCTGATCGATAGTCGATTTTCCAGGTCTAAAGCCCCACTGATAAGCACCAATCAGTTTGTTGACGATGGAATTCAGTCTTCAGTCGTATTGTGGTCTCCATTTTTGTGGATTGGGCAGAGCACACTTAAATTACAATCGTTGGACAAACTTTTGTTCGACCACATCTTGCAAAGAAGCTAATGCCTGTACGTTGTCAGTTCTTCGCCGCTGTATTTGAATAACACAGCCGGTAATCCATCTGCTCCTACCGCTTTGTTGTTCTTCGGGCGGGTAATTCCATACGAACTTCATCATTGTCGATAAATGGAACATTTTATTCCATAGTCATCATTGATTTTATTTGGACTTCATTTTCGAGGGGAAATTCTATAAAGGTGTTAATAACTCCACGGTGAACTCCTTCAACATCTCTCGAAAGTTGGTCTCGTCCGAAATTTGGCTGATATATTGTTCCAGTTCGTCGACATATTGGAGGAATGCTCCGGATGTTCCCAGAAGGCTGCTCTGCTTCAAACAGATGACTGACTTAACAGAGAACATTTGGACCTCAATATATAGAATTTCAATGGGAGTTATCAGTAGACATGCTGTTGTAATTGGGTGTGTGGTGTTCTGGGAGGTCTGACCAGATTAGCCTGCGTAGTTAATGGTCGGCCTGCCGATTGCCTTATATGTTGCCAGCAACGTCTCTTTGCCCTTACTCCAACTGCTGCTCGCTAGCGACTCCAAACTCTTATTGCGGCTCTGTACTTTGGTAATTATGGCGGTTGTATGCGTAGTGAAGGAGTTCAGATTGTCGAATCTAACATATAAAAGTTTAGGGGTTTTGACCGTCGTAGTTTCAAAATTACCGACGGAAATTTTGAGGTCCAGTTTGTACTTCTTCGACCAGTTTGTAAATAGGTTGGTTATAGAATTGATAGGGTAAAAATTTAGGTTCCTCGCAATTAAGATGCAATAATGTTCTAGGAGAGGAAGCCTTCACTTTTGAACACTTGGTATCAATTCCATTGCCCCACGTCCTTATCGTACAATCATTTGCGTATGAGGTATAGAAACACCTTCTTGTGGTGCAGAGGATTTCCTGTTTAATACCCCTTAATTTAGAATTTTGAACTAAAAATAATATGGATGATTGTCTAGCACTCAGATAGTTCACGGTCCTTCTCTTAAGTTTTCGAGAGAGCATAATTTGTTCGATGTTCACAAGCAGGTCTGTAGTCAAAAGCGCCAACACCTGGTTGGAGGAAAATCCTCTCACAGAGGGTTTGGAGTTGAGACCACTAGCTAACTGGGCGTTTATGACAATAAATGCTCTGATGGAGTAGTGTTCTTTATCCAAATCAAACTGGTGTTGGTCCAGGTTTAATAAGGTATCCATATACTCGCTTGTGTGGAAATAGACTCGCCAAATTCGTTTCTATTCAGAGAACTCAATACTTTCTCAGAAAAGAGTAGAGAGCAAAGAAGAAAAGATAACAGCTATTATCGAGTATTATGATTATAATATAAAAAACTTATGGTACTCTTGAAACGATAACAAACAAGAGGATGGTAAATGTTTTTTTGAAACCTCTTTCTTTCTTGATATAAATACTTTCCCATTTGCAATTTTGAAATTCTTTCCAATCTTCAATTTCGAAAGCCGGTCATTTTATAATCGACGAAATAGTTAAACAACCGATATTCGTTATAATAATAATCGATAATCCAGTTTTGCAAACACCTCGGATATAATATGAGAATAAGCTTTTTTCATTTCAAGAATTACCTAACAGCCACAAGCCATTTTAAACAAGTCTCATGATTAAGAACGATTGAAAAGGGAAAATTTAAATCTTTAATCTCTGAAAGCCACATTACAGCTCGCCATTTACTGTCTCCTTTGTTGCTGCCGCCGAAAATCGCGCGAAAGCTCAGACCCACAAATCTCATTTTTCGAAGTTCGGCAAATTACAGTAGCAGTTTGTTGTTGTTTTCGCAACATTTCAACCTCAACTTTGTCATATACGCGAAAATTATTGTGTTGGCCAAAAGGAAAACTTTGCTCCACTAACAATCAAAAAGTAGACCAACATTGATTTATGTATGAGGAATATGCATGTGGATATACATATGTATACATCTACTTATGTATATATACATGTGTATATGTACCTATATTTCTATATATGAGGCGCATGTGTCTGGGGGCGCTGAAAGCCCAAGTCGCCCACAAAAGTTGTAATGAGAATTTACTCGGAAAACTTTAAGTTTAAGTTTAAGTTGGAAACTTGGAAATTCAAAGTTTGACGGCCACTGAAATGTAGGAAAGCAGTGAGCGGAAAAAATTGAAGGGCACTTTCATTACAAGCGTAGTTTATAGTAAGCAAAGCTTAGTTAATTTTCAAAGGAAACTTAACTCATTTCTGATTTTCAGAATATATGATACGAGCTCCCAGAATCGGTGGTGAAATTTGGTAAAAAAAAATGAAATCAATATTTTTTACAGCAGGATGGAACGAGCAAGTCATTCATAGAACTTCGTGCCCTAGGGCGCTGGATCTATGGGATTCGCGTGAGCCTAGTATGCATGGCTTAGAAGTCCAGACTGGAACGTTAAAGGTCCATGGGACTACTACCTCTTAGCACGGCTCACATGTTCGTAATGATAGGCATGCTAACTGCATCCTAAAATGAAGACTGTGCCATTGGCACTCACGCGGTGAGGCTCAGGATTTTGGAGGAGGCAACTTGTCACAGCTGTTGGGAGGAAGATGGGATGAAAACATTTACCCTTACTCCTGCACTGTCCAAGATTCTTTGGCAAGAATGTTGTATGTAAGGTTGAAGCTTCTTGATTGTGATACTCCCTACGAACCTATTGAATTGAATTTTATAGCTAACTCCAGACCCTTTGTAGAAAATATTTTTGATCTGTACTTAAGAGAACTGAGCATGAAAATGTACCGGCATCTCTAGCTAACCAAGTGGAATGATTCGTAGTCATATTTACCTAACCTAACCCTACCCAACCTAACTTTCTACATAAACATTATACTTATAGCATCTCTTAAAACCCGCACATTTCCAGTGACTTTATTCAATGAAAAATTATTGGTCATTTTTTTTCATTAACTGTGGTTGACTTTGAAATGACTGTTGAATTTTTTCAAGAACATTTCTCATACCAAAAATTCGTTCGAAAGTTGAAAGCTGGAAACCATCATCCCTCGAATCAACTTCAACTTTCCCTCATTTGGCATATCAACCTACTCATTATATAATATTTCCGCTTCGAATACATAGTAATTTTTGACATTTTTCCACAGCGGCCTCTAGCAGCCCGTTTTGAATTCATAGTGTACATTTGAGCGCCTAATTTTCAGGCCACACTCGTGGCCTTAGCTCAACTTTCATGCTACGAATGACTTATTGMAAAAAGTTTTTGCCGTGCAGCATCAGAATAATTCTCTTGCTATATRTGTACATACTTATATATGCGAAAATATTACGTGACTCTGGTGTTGCAACTTTATTAAGCCAACATACATYGATCAAACCTGAGCTAAATTTCATTTCATACTCGTTTTTTATGCGCCAAAACGTCCGAAGGTGAGAAAAGTGGCAGAGATTGAAATAATTTTTGTGTAAATTTAACTCTATCTTCTATGGCTACAGTTTCGCGCTGTTACTTTTGTTCGGCAGAATTATTTCGTGACCTCATTAAGTAGCTCAATAGCTCTTTCTCTCAGTCAATAATTTTCAAAGTCTGTCTGTAAACTCACTTCCCGAAGAACACACACCTTGTCTTATGTCTTCGATATCACTCAAGAACTCCATACTATTTTCCTTGACTTCTCCCAAGCCCGTCACCCGAGTCTGCCAACGAAGGGGTGGAAATTTGTGAAGACTTTCGAGAAAACCACAGCAAAATCTGGCACATTTATCAACGCAGCTTACACCTACTTGTTCTCTGGGAATTTTTCCTTCGGGATCTCCCTCAACTAGCCACCCAAAAGTAATGCAGTTTCGGTTTTTTGGCCGGCGTCTCAGCCTCTTGGCTACCACTGCTAGTGGCTGAAGCTTAAAATTAGATAGAATACGGTAAACAAATATCTTGGAAGTTCTTAGTAAGCTCTACACTGCTTGACGATTGCAGTTGTACCCTTCTGGGCAAGTAGGCAGATGGACGCTTCTAGCTACCGCGTACCTAGCTTTCGTTAAGTTATCGACCTTAAAAATAGGCCRGAAGCGTTGCTGGCAATTCCACTTTAAGCATCTCCTTCTCCTTCCTTTTCTGWCGCCATGCTTAACTTGCCGGGTTTGTTTCCGTCTATCTCTGATGTTGTTTCTTTCCTAAAGCTGGGCTTTGCTTTAACTTCAGCGTTAGTCCCAGTCCCCTTGCACCTAGACCAAGCTTAGTTTATGGCTTTGTGCGATCTACTTTCTAACCCGTTACAAAGGCAGCTCACTTCTGGAAACAACTAAGCTCTCTCAGGTTTTTTTCTCAGAGGATCTTGATTTCTTTAATTCTTTATTTCGTGTAATGTTCTAGTTCATATTTGTAGCCGCGGGTATAGAAGGAAAGTAGGTTCCCACGTATCTGTAAACTCCGTTCGTGACAACGGAGCTGTTTTGTGGTCTCCAGTAATGTTGAAGTTAGGCACGGCTAGCATGATACATTGATCCAAACCTTAATTGTAGCCCNNTATTCTAAGACTTCTTATTATTTGCTAATGAGGGGCAACGAACACCCAACTAAAAAGTGAGACTTTAGCAGATAACTCTCAACTCCAGCAGGGGAGAACTGTGACCAATCCATTTTTGACATCGTCATGATACTGTGGTATTTATTACCAGCCGACCCACTCGTGAAGGTTTCATTATAGTTTGTTATAATAAAATTAATATATAATTGCCATAAAAAACAAAAATAAATTTGCAATAAAACTTTTGAATCGTAATAATCTATATACTCTTTCTCATCACTTCTTTCTTTATAGAACTGTGTGACGCAGCAGCGAAAATCCAGGCCGCCTTCCGTGGCCATATGACACGCAAAGTTGTGACTAAAGACACGCCCGACGATATCGACATACAGGAGATCACCAAGAAGGTGGCCGAAGAACTGGATATCGATCTAAGCGATCCGGAATTGAATAAAGCAGCCACCAAAATTCAAGCCTCATTCAGAGGCCACAAAATTCGCAAGGAAATAGGAACCGAATAAGAGAATCTTGTGCCCATATTTTCCTCATTAAACAACCAAAAAAAAACAAAACAATGTTGCAACAGAAAAAATTAATTAAAGAAAGCATAAAGCAGTAATACTAAAATATGGAAAAGAATAATTGCTAAAAATGTTAAGTAAATACAATTTGAATTATATAAACAAAAAAAAAAAGACATAAATTAATTAAAGAAAGCATAATGAAGCATAGATAATGATAAACAAAAATATCAAGTCATTTGTGAGGGCAATTATTTGGGAGATTCAAAGCATATGCAACAACGTTGCCATACACCTACAATTGTATACACTGAGCGAAAAATACACAAGCTTTTCAACTGCTGAAGGACAAAGCATAAATAAATATAAATTGTTGAGCAAATTTTAATAGCAAATGATAAATGTTGAACAAGTATTAACAYAAAATAAAAATAAAACTAAGAAAACAAAACTAATATTGACACTTTATAAGGGTTCAAACCAATGTGCGCAGTGTTGCATTTTCGCTAAATTAATTCAATATGAAAAATAAATATTAGAAACAAAATTGCAATTACTTTGAACTTAAAATTTTTATTTTATTTTTTTTCTCAGAAATATTTTTAGTCTCAGCAGAAGCAATTTTGGTCTCAACAGAACCATTTTTGGTCTCAGAAATATTTTTTTGTCTCAGCAAAAATATTTTTGGCGCATTTTTGTTTAGTCGCATATTTTTTTCACAGCACTGTTSAACGGCATAGGGGTTTCACAACACATTCTTTGAGCTTTATGATAAGTAACTGAAATAAATATATATTTTTTAATTTACAAAAAGTAGTAATTAAAATAATAAGATGTATATTAAATATTATAGTCTATGTATTTTAGCTGGTTTGGCGATTGTAAAGACTGCAGAGTCGCACCAGCAGAAAACAAAAGCTTTGCCAAATTATGTAGTTGTTGACATTACGTAGAGCTCGCTATAAGTTTTACTTACTATTTTGCAG